TTTTACATAAATTAAAATTAAAATTTATTCATTTTATAAAGATAAAAAAAATAATTAAGAATACAAAAATAAAAAAAAAACTAAAAATTCAAGGACTAAAATAAAAAATTCACTCATTTTATAGGGATTAAAAATATATTTAAGTCAATAATCAATATTATTATGATAGATTTTTTGGTCAAATAACTAGTGTGTAACTTTCAAATGCTATATAAGGTTTATTTCTTTAAACTTAAAGAAAAAGAATTTCTAAAAAAAAGTACTTAAAAAAACAATTCTAAGTAAAAAAGAATTTTAGAAAAATACATCAAAAAGTAAAAAAGAAATAATTATTTTGTTTTAAAAAAACACTTTTATGAAGGAATTTTTTTTAAACAAACGTATCCATAAAATTGAATTAAAATCTTAATTCAATTAGCTCGATTAAGATTTTGATATGAGTAAGTTTCAAATTTCCGTTTGGTAATAATTTGAACTTTATGATTTTGAACAAATTTATGAACTTATACACAAAACATTGATTTCAATTTACTCTGAATGTCCTTTCAAAAATTTATTTTTTTACTCTGAAATGTGAATTATAATGTAAAGTTATAAGTATAACTTAACTTGGATTAGAGATTTTGTTATTAGAAAATTGTAAAACAAAATAAAATTAACTTCACATAAAATGCAAAGAGAAAAAAAAAATTATAAATGCTGAGATGACAAGGAATATTGAAATCTAAAGTAGTTGAAAAGCAAATGTGTAAGAAACTAATTTCGAAAACTTCAAAAAAAGTGTGACAAATAACTTTTGCAAAAACATAAATGATTGAAATTTAGGTGTAAAAAAAAGACTGAAATTTAAATGAAGAAGTAGAAAAAAGATGCTAGATGAAATAAAATAACTGGAAAGTAAATCGAAAGCAAATAAATTACAATAAATTTAAATGAAAAGCGAATGAAAAGGCTCAAAATGTAAATTAAAATTAAAACTAAAGAAAAAAAAAATGATTGCAAAAATGTAGATGACTTTGGAATTTAAAGAACTGAGATAAGAAGTAAATTAGTAGAAATAAAAGACTTTACTTTTTGAATTTGGTTCCCTAAAATTGACTCTTAATCGTAATCATTATTTGGAATAAAAGGAGAAAAAACAACTTATGTTTATTATTTCAAATATAAAAAATGTTAAACCAATTTTATTTTATTTAATACCATCTTCAAAATAACTTTTTTATTTAATTGTGATCATATTTTTAATATTTTTTTCACTCGATTTCAAGTTTTAAAAGGAGTAATTCAGGATAATAAGTTATTTTTTAAATGGAATTAGAAAATTTAAATGATATAAACTAGCGTGAATTATTTTTGTTTTGTTTATGTTTGGAAGTAGAAAAAGTAATATATAAGGCCTGCATGTATTACAAGATATTTTGTATATATACACTCAAATTAACGTATATTTTTTTAAAAATATTATATATTAACTTGAATTTATATAATGAAATATTAAATAATTTTTTAGATTTTACAAAATTGTGTAGACTTTATTTATTTGTTAAATTTTTTTAGTTTAATTATTAAATCATTAAAATTAAATATAGACAATGAAATATTGAGTAAAATAATTTTACTAAAAATTAGTCTTAGAAAAAATTGATCCCAATGCATATGTGTGTAATTTTATGGTAAACAAATCCACTGCAAACAGGTTTCTAAATGTCTAAGCTTGACTAACTAATATGTTGACATGGAGCTCAATTTGAGGATACTCAATAATTGCTTGCAATTGTTTTAGATTTAGTGTGTGTTTGGTTTCAATTTTGAAACTCAATTTCTTCGTCTCTCTCCACGTCCAAGTAACAATTTAAGGAGAAGCTATTATTTTCTCCTTCCAGTCAAACGTGAAAAATCACGTTTTGACGCTGTTCTAAACACACAGTTAGAATTCACATACTTCCTTTTCTTGACACTTTGTCATTTTTTTAAGCAAACTTTGGTCATAACTCGAGTTGGTTCCTTTCCGAAATCATTATTACTTGAATAACATAACTTAGATCAATTTTCATCCTATAAATTACTTGAATCTCGAAGGGATGTTTCTAACACTCGGGATATGACACCAATAAGACTACAAAGCTCACTTTGCTTAGCTTAACATGTATTGTGAACTTGTAACCTGTTTTTTTTTTTTAGACATCTCTACATTTTTTTTATTAGAGTCCTCATTAGTAACGTTTAGTTTGTTTTAAAATCTTTTAGTCATTTTAATCATAACAATAATAAATTATACAGATAGGTTAAAAAATATTAAAGCATGGTTAATAATGACTTATTTTTGAACTGACTCATATAGCATGAGATAAGCCCATATAAATTTTAAGTCGATCGTATATATTTAGTGTTTGACTCAAACTGAATGTATACTTGATCTTAATTTTATGAGGGTCACTCATCATCTTAAGTTATGTGGTCAACTTGTAGAATGTATATTGTGTTTTTTTTTTTTGCATTTTTCTTTCTTTTTTATTTTATTTTATTTTAGAGGGTTGAAAATAGATTGGAACACGGTTTGTGTTGTGTGAGCACATTGTAATAGGAGTATATACATATCCCTATTTATGAGGGCATAATGAATTGAAATAGAAAATAGGAATAAATGTAATGGCTTATTGATTATTTTGATCAATGTGATGCAATCAAGATACAAAGATATTGATGGCATTGACAAGAAGAAGAATAAGTGGTCACTGCAATAAGTGTTGCACCGCATATTAATAACGAATTTTATTGCTATGAGCCTAGGAGTAATAGTTTTGACTTTATCTTATTTCATGCGTATGTTTTTTTTTAATCAATAAAAATTAAACTTGGTAATAAGGGTTGACAACAACTAAGGTAGATCCCTTCGATTATCATGTGCATGTTTGAATAAACGTTTATACAATAAATTTTGAATTAAATTGATTTTAAAGTGAAACGATTAATATATGTTCCATTTTTTTTATTCTAAAGTAAGTTAGATGTGAAATCTATTTTTTTATTAAATGCAAAAATTAAAATTATTTTAACTTAACATTAATGATAGATCTAAAATCAATTTTCCAATATAAGATCAAACCCATTAACATTCATTTAAAATTACATTAATTGATGTTCTAAAGTAATTTTATAAGACTCAACGTGAAGCCAAACATATTTTTAAAATTGAATCATCACAAAGAGTGTGTTTATTTTAAGTTATTTCATAATATTCTCATAAATATATAAATAGAGAATGAATTTTTTCATGTTTGTTACAAAATTACAAATGTTATCATTGGGTATAGAACATTTTTATGAATAAAATAACTTTCATATTTTCATGTTTTTATTCTCAAAGGGCAGGTGTGTAAGTCGATTTTTATGACCTAATGATTAGATTTTTTATTTTTATTTACTTGAACTTTCTTCACTTACTTTCATTAAAACATTTTTATTACTAGCCAAATATATATTTGTTTTAAAAGGATACACGAAAAATGTCATTCCATCATTATATTTCTGAAAATATTAATTTTGAGAACGAAAGTTGATAGTGTGAAAGAAACTCTCCCGAGTAAAAAGGGTAAATAGACCTAAATGCATTGCTTAACATAATCAAACTTGCACAATATTTCTGATTTTTTGTTTTGGTTTGTTCTTATCACGTGATGTTTTTTCGTTTTCATAAGGCTGCGTTGATGACCCTTTATCACGCCAATAATTAGTCTTTGGCCCCTCAGCTTGATGACCGATCTATTTCTGTCCACGAGCTGTGTGTACCTTGTTCAACTTGCCCTTATTTTATTCATTTCACGTACGCATGTTATCTCATTTCTCACCGGATTTAACACATAAATTTACATATTTAACGTTGAAGAAGCATCATGATTCTGGTTTTAATTTGTTTCGAAGTTTTCAATCCAATGGTTATAAGTTATATATCTACTAACACTGCCATGCCTTCAATGTCAATTTAGTAACAAAACTGACAATAGGAGAGGCTTAGTTGGTGCAATTATGGTCTACGGATATGTGTGTAAGTAAGGAAAATAGGTAAGCACAAATGGAGTACAAGGTGTGAGCAAGGCTTTTGCATTGAGGCGAAATGCAAAGATAAAGATAAAGATAAAGATAAAGATGATGAACAAACAAATAGAAGGTATTGATAAATAAATTGGGTGAACAAATAAAAGCATTTATCATCTGACGTAATATCTCCCGCATTATTCTCAACCGTCTCAATTACTCTTGCATTTATGTGATTTAAATGGTCTTAATAGAATGGCCTTTTTTTTTCAATGCTCGGAACTACCCAACCCAACCCACTCTCTACCATCATCCCTTGATTCACAACATAATTTTCTTATACTACACGACATACGACTTTCACGCCATTGCTCTCATTATGCTCGTGGACACTTGAATTTTGTAACATGGAAGTTGGAACTATCCCCCTTTTTTAATCAAGTCATTATCGAATGCAAAAACTTTCCATTGACTTCCTTAAATCGTGTCAGGGGATCTGAATGAAATTACAATACTCATTTTTTAATGATCAAATAAATATATTAGCAATTGCGTCTTGGATCCTATATCACCAATTGATACACAACAAAGTCAACTAGCACATTTAACCACTTCAATTAGTTGCCAACCATTATGCTTAGATTTAAATTTTAACCTCACACGCATCCTTTTTAAATTTCTTTTTTTTTGAGGTGCACATGAGTGGTTCAATTTCACAGAGTGCAGTAGATGGAGCAGTTAACACCGGTTTGGTGGGCCTTCTTAACTTTCAAACCATTTCAACTGTTACCAAGTACAGAGGATCTACATTCTGTCACGCCAGTTTGCTTTTGTTGCCGCTATTTTTATTGGCCTCTCTTTACTTTTTATGGTGAATAACGTTAACAATAACAGCATGTGTTCCCGGTTGGATGAAACAGTAACATTAGCATCATCGATGCAGAGGAAAAAAAAAACAGAGAGAGTCAAGGAAAAATTAAGGTTCGATTTCACCTTAAATTTCAACAAGCAAACCAAGAGGGCACCTGAGGTTATAAGCCCTATTACACTTTCTTAATAGATACCTAACATTCCCGAATTTCCCAGTAACTTTTTTTTTTTTTTTTTTTTCTATAGGTGACTGATTCAAATAGTGCTATTCACGCTCTACTCTGTCTCTCTCTGTCTCTGCAATCTGCATCCCCTGCTTTGACAAAATTGGTGGGAAAGAGGGTGAAAGTGGAGCGCACATAGCACTACTCATGGAAGGGGGAAAAGTTAAAACGGTAGAAAAGAAAAAGAAAAGGGGGGGGGGAGATTAATTCCTAGGATTACAAGCTAATATAATATGTCCTACCATTAGGAACAGAGGAAAACAGAGGTAGAAGGAAACAGAGGATCCTAACTCCTTATGGTGGGGTTTTTGGCGTCATGGAGGAAGTCGAGCAAAACAGTGCTTTTGCATTTGGGGCACTTGGGATCATCCTCGGACAGCATGACGTACATGAGGCAGCGAGGGCAACCCACAAGCACCATGGAAGTGGCTTCAGGGCTGTTAGAGTAACTCTTATCCTCTGGGTTCAGCTCAGAGGATACGCATGAGCTCGGCGGTGATGTCGGCGACACTGTCGCCGAGCGTGTGGGGGACTCCAGTCTCCGTTCAACCCTCGGTGGGGACAGGTTCAGCTTCAAGTCAAGCTTTGGACCACTTCCGTTTCTACGGCTCATGGCTTTCCTCTGTTTTCTGCAACCTCAAAAAGAAGAATAAACAGACTAAATAAGGCATGTAATATAAATAATAAAGAAAGGGTCTAATTATTTGACCATGGAGAGAAAATTGGAAGAAGGGGTGGTGGTGATTTTGATGACTCACCTGTGAGTGTTGTGGAAGAGAAAAAAGGGTGATCAGAAGGAGTGGCACCAGCAAAGTGTTGGTGGTGATGGTGTATGTTGTTGCAAGAATGGGTGGAGGTTGATGGGGATTTTATATAAGGAAAATGAAGGGGAGTGATTTAAGGCTTAATTTAATTGTTGGAGAGAGGTGGAGGGGGGGTAGGGTGTAGAGAGAGAAAGAGAGGAGAGAGATGAGATTGAATTGAATTGAATTGAATTGAAGTATTGGGTAGAAGGAGAGTGTAAATTGAGGCCAGGAAATGTATTAATTGTTTGGAAAAATCCCAAGAAGTATGCAGGAAGGGGAAATTTGGAGTAAATATTGCAATTACAAACTGCAGAAGGAGGGCCTTTCTTCATTCATTGCTTAAGGAAGAGTCGGTGTTTTAAGAGTCTCAGAGAAACACAACTCAAGTGAAATCCAACGGCTTTTAAAGCTAAACCCCTTATTTAAAAATCCAACCCCTCACCAACAAAATTTAATACCACGTAGTAATAACCTCCATCTTTTATTTTCTTTTTATTAATTCCTAGTAATGGAATTAAAACCAAGTGTGTGTAACAACCATGCCTCAATTTTTAATATTCAACAGTGCCCCCGAGAAAAGTAAAGCAAATTAAATGAAATGACAATGTTCAATGTTCAATGTTCAGCGGGAGGAGCTCCATGACAGCACGACACCACAGTTTTTATGTTTGATATATAGATCATCATTTGTACTGTACTAGTATATATATCTCTGATGCTTGAGTTGAGTCTAGTCTACACTCACATTCCTACAAAATACTTAAATTAGTTTTACAAAGTAAACATATTTGTCTCCCATGTAGCTCTGAATATCTTCATGAAGGAAAAAAAGAATTATTTTGGATTGAGGTGTTAGGGAATAGCTTAGCTAGCCAAGGAATGATGATGCATCTGCTACAGAATTTTTCATGTTGTGAATTTCTGTTGCTTTTTGTGGACTAAGTTCTCTCTTACTTTGGAAAAGTACAACTAGTGTCCATCGTCCATCAGACATTACATGATATCGTGGTGTTATTACCACGGCACCATTGATTCTTCTGAAGACATTATTGTCACCATTAAAACGAAGTAAAGAATGCTTTCTGTCATGAACTTGATTCGTGATTTGACAATGCTACGCCAGGGGTGGAGTGGGGAGAGATCTGTGGAACATTTACTCATACTGGGAGTATGCTTTCAAGTTAATTTTTCAGATTATGTGGATTGAACATTTTAATTCTTAATATATTTTTTAAATAAATAGTATTACTCTTTAATTTTATAAAGTGCCATTTATTTCAATTTTTTTAGTAAAATATTGAAATGAAAATTAAATAAAAAATTCTTGGTCAAACTTCAGAATAGCGATTTTTTTTAAATCTAAGACTAAAATCTATACAAATTTAGGGATTAATTTAATCATTTTCTCTTCTCTTTATTTTATATAACCTGACTCCAAATTGTTGTGAATATTTTGCTTTGCTTTGTGAAAAATTGTATCCTAATTTTTAACTTTCTGATTGATTTCCCTACATGCAAGCAGATATCAAATTATGAAATTTATAAAATATCATATTGTATTTTTAAATAAATTAGTGCATTACCAATGTTCTAAAATTTTAAATAGCTGGCTTCTGACTTCATTTTTATCATCAGATTATTTTTAAGCTAAAAAAAATGGAGAAATAGTTTTATTTTAAACGATGAATGATAAATTTTTTTACATGATTAATAGAAACTTAAAATATAATAGTGTTGGTGACAATATAGTTTCCATGCATATATACATACTTTAAATAAAACATTTGGTTTTGTTTCTTCAATTAAATGAATTCACCCATTCAACTCGGGTAAATCATGAACAAATTAACTTCTAAATAGAAAGGGTGTGAGTTTGCTTCTTAGGTAACAGGTCATTGAGACTCAAAATCAAAATTGTCCTTTGGGTTTAGGTTAATGTCAACTAAAAACAGCAAAAGGCGATAGGTTACATTTGAATATTGTTGTGATTTACCCTAGCACAATACATATATATTTGTTTTCCTGAAACATGTTTCCAGTATTTATTACTAGTTTTTTAAACTAAGGAAAAACCCTAAGTCAAGGAAATAATGACATTTGGTGAAGAGAGAAAAACAATTGTAATAGAGCAGTGTTATCTTCCATATGTAGAATTTTATGGTCAACGTGGCATAGGTAGATGAAACATGCTTTAAATGATGTCTTTCTACTTACTATAAATAGACACTCTCCATTCTTTAAAATTCAGCATTTCATGGATGACATACAGTCATACACATAAGAAGGATGCGTTTGAGACATTTGACCAATCGTGGCTTCCTTAGATTTGAAAAGTCAGCAACTCAATGAAAGAAAAGAAAGTCACTTATCACTTTCGGTGATATCTGTCGAGTTATTTGACCTGTTCACCATTTTTAAACACAAGTTTGTTGAATTATTTATTTACTATGTAATTTAATCCATGAATTATATAGAATAAATATTTTATTTTAATATAATTATAATTTTAAAAAAATATTCTTTAATATAAATTATAGTAGAGTAAAAAATTATACTAAATAAATATTTTAAATATAAGACTATTTTTTATCACATTGACAATTTTTTTTTAAAAGAATATTGAAATTCAATTTAGAGGTGTTTAAATATGATAGACCGAAAGAGATAAATAGTTAAGAAAAATAAATATATAAATAAATAAAAAATTAAAGAATGATATATATAATTTCATGGTTGAGAGGGTTTTTTTTTCTTCTTCTTATTATGCTGATACACATCTAAAGGATAAAAGAGAAAAGAAAATATTGAAAATATATATTATATTTTCTAATTTACAATATAAGAGTAAAATTTTAATAATAATGCTAGATCCGGTAAATACACGCAGGAATTCATAACTAATCATTGGTTAAACTAAGTGATACTTATTTGATTTGTTTTGAATTTTGCATATACTTATCATTGAGTCGATCATATTGTGAATATTTTCATAATTGATTCCTAATGAAGAGATTAAAACAAATCACAAGTAATATAAGGGTAGATAAATAAACTTGCTAACAGTTACATAAAATATCAACTAAATAAAAAATTAATATATTAAACAGAAAAAATTGTTCACAATATGATGAAATTATTCTCTCAATGATAAGTATATGCAAAATTCAAAAAAAAAAATCAAATAAGTATCTCTTAATTTAACCAATGATTAGTTGTACATCAGATAATTTTAATGTAGTTAAAATTTTCAAAAAAACTAATTTTTGGAATAAATATTTTTGTCAATACTATGATACTAAAAAATATTAAACAAAAAATACTTATTTAATATCCTAAATTTAAAAGTATTTATGAAAAAAATTAATAAATAGTTTATTTATAATTATCTTATAGTATAAATATTTATAAAAATATTTGAAAAACCTATTAATTACTACAATGATAGTAAATGCACCAAAAGAAAAGTGATAATAAAATAAAATTAAAACCAAGAGTACAAAGATTAAATTTTTATTAGTTATAGAAAACATCATTCATATAAAGAATTTAATTTCTAAAGCATAAAAGAGTTTCATATTGACATTTAATGTTGCAACTTAATAAATTTGAAATGTCATAATAGTCAAATTTTGCAGTATATTGAAATTAAATTCATATACTCTCTTTGTCTTAATTAACATTAATATATTAAATATTGGGTTATTTTATATAAAAATGTTTTTATGATCATTTTTTAACAAGAGCATTTGTAGATTTGTTTTAAAAAAATTTATCTAATCTAATTTTTTATTTATTTATTCAATTCTTTCAATGTGAAAATTATCCTATCCAAGAACATTTTTAAGGATTAATTTTTGACCAGAGCATTTTTAGATATTGTTTTAAGGATTAAATTCATATTTTTTTATTTTTAATATTTATTTAAGAAATAAATTTTAATATTTATAAAAAATTATCAATAATTAAAAAATTGTATTTCACACCTTAAATTACTTATCATAAATCTAAAATATAATTTATATGTTTCAAAATATCTAAATATAAAAAATTCAAATATAATTTATATATTCAAATATAATATTTATTTGTTCATGTAATTTATTATAATTCTTTGTTATATATAATAAATATTTAGTCAATAAATATATATGTTAAAATAATGGTCATTAAGCATTTAAGAGGAAAAAATTTCTTTGAATAAAATGTATTGATTAAAAGCGTTAAAATATAATGCAAATTAATTAATATCTAATCAAGATAATAATAAATAGAAGTATTCTTTAAAAAGAACAACAATACTATTTAAATATTTTAAAATAACAAAATTTTACAATAAATTAAAACTCCTAAAATTATAGAGAAATTGAAACGAATAAAGTAAAAATGTAAGTTCATTTAATTAAATTATATTTTTATTAAAATACTGACATTATCATGCATCCTTCATAATGTTTTCATGTTGTTATGTTAAAATACAAAAGGGAATAACAGTTAGAAAATAATTATATTGTTTTCTTGATTTTCTAAAAGGAAGAGAAAATATTTTTTCCAAAACACTACAAGTAAAATACTATATTTAATCTTATATAAAAACAGATACCTAATTTGTTAGAACCAATGACACAAAATCTACATCCTCATAAAGAATTTTGATGATAATAATAGACATTAAAATTTTTATTAAAAAAACTTTGATAAGATTTAATTAAACTAAATTATATTTTCAAGGAAAATCAAAGCGTTCAATAGTCATTATACATTTAAGATTTAGTATTTTTTATATTCGTTATTTTTAATCTAAGTATTGAAATATGTTTATCCTGTGAGACCATAGTTAATAATTTGATAGACTCGAAAAAATATATGAATTTTAAAATATATTTTTATTTGTGCGACAAACAAACACACATTTTCAAGAAGAAAATAATGTTTGTTATACTATCTTATGTAGAAAAGGAAGAAGTTTTTGTGTTGCTCATAATAAGAGAATGACAGAGACAAAAATATTTTATAAATACTTAACCCGAAAGTTTGAACCCATACTTACAAAGAAAACTATAGTAGTGCTCTCGCTCATATATACACGCCACAAAAGGGAAAAAAAAATAAATTGTTGTACCTTGTTAAGACATGCAAAAATAACACCTGCAACAAATGTTTTGTCCATGTACTTATCTTAGAATGTATCTTCTTCTTTTTTTCGTGACTATAAATATAAGACATTATAAAAAAAATATTCAAATTTTTTAATGAACAATCTAAATATTATATCTTTCAATGATCTTAATGTTAGTTGAGTGGTAAAAAATTTCAAGTATTTGTAACATCACAAATACAACTCAAATTATAACTATAACATCAAAT